GAATCTGTAACAGACGACGTTACAGTTATAACATGAGCAAGCTCATAGTTTGGTCTGCGTGACAACGCGTCAGCCAAAGCATTCTACTTTCCCAGCTTATACTTCACCTCGAAGTTTTATTCCGCAAAAAAGGATAGCCATCCAGCCATCCTCTGCGAGAGGTGGGGCGACTGAGTCACATTGCGTAATGACGCATGATCTTTCTAGATCACAAACGCTTGGAGCCGAGCAGGTGGGCCCTGAACTTGACAAGTACATACTTCATCGCAAGTAGCTCCTTGTCATGAACTGGGTAGTTATTATCTACAGCTTTGAGCTGTCGAGATTCGAACGCGATCACCCGATCTCGCTCGTCGGCGTCTGCTTGCAGCAGTGCACAGCCGATAGCAAAGTCCGAAGCGTCACAGACGACGCTGATTTGTCGAATAGGGTCTGGCAGTGCCAGTATTGGTGCAGGCAGGAGGCTGTCTTTGACCCCGTCAAAGGCCTTCTGGTGTTCGGTGTTCGAACACTATTCCGCATCCCTTTTAAGGAGGCTGGATAATGGCCGGGCCATTTCTGCGTAGTTTACGCTGTACTTGTGAAAGTAGTTGGCGAGGCCAAGCTACTTACGTAAGTCCTTCTGGTTTTTTGGAAGAGGCCAGTCTACAATGGCCTTGACCTTAGCGGGATCCGCTCGAAGGCTACGCTTCCCAATAAAGCACCCTGAAAAGAAAATCTTTTCTACGCCAAAGATGCACTTGTTTGCATTGGCGTACAGTTGGTTAGTGCGTATGCACTCGAGCTTTGCTCTTAGATAGATGATGTGGTTCTGCTCATCCGTCCTCCCGTGCTCCGCACGACTGTGTACGAAAATGTCGTCAAAGTATGTCTGTGTATACGCCCTGTGGGGCCTGAACAACGGCGTCACAAGACGTTTGAACGTTGCTGGTGCATTTGACAGCCCTAGGAGTATCACCAGCCACTCCCAGAGCATGCCGCTCGGAGTGCTCACCGCTGTCAACGAAATGCCACTCGCTCTCATGAGCAATTGGTAATACCCATCAGCCAAGTCGAGCGCACTGTACTTCGTACATCCCACCATGTTGTTCTGAAGAACATCCTTTCTAGAAATTGGCGTTTGTGCTGGAATGATGGCAGCGTTGAGCTTATTGGAAGCTTTAACGATACGCCACTTGCCGTTCGCCTTCCAAACACAAAATGTGGGTGTCGAATGGGGAGACTTACTCTCACGCACCATACCTGCGTCGTGCTCCGCACAGAAAAAAGGCGTCAATGACGTCGCACTGCTCCATGGGCAGGGGTCATTGGCGTGATACGCAGTATCTGGTTCCCGGAACCAGGTCAATCTCATGACGCACACCTCGGTCCGGGGGTAGGACCAAAGGCGGGTCTTTGAAGATCCGGTCTTGAAATTCCTTTACTAAAGAATAGTACGGATCCAAAGGATTCCGTAGGATCGACGACCCACTCCGTGCGTTCAGCACTCTCTTGGTGTCTTCCA